CTCAATAATATTAATGTTACAAGCTCATTCAAGTATTTTACTTTTTTTTTTTTTTTGTCCTTTTAAATGTGATATCCTAGCACATGGTAAAGATAATGTACTACGATCATTAAGGTGGAACCTTCTCCGCAAAGACAGATGACAAAGTTTTCCTCTCCAGTGAGAATCGGGCTGTAAGTTCTTATGTTCTCTGCCTCTGCCATCAACATGGCTGAAGGAGAGGGTGGGGCTGGGGAGAATCCAGGAACCCTTCCACACAAGAGGTACTTTGAGGTTCCCATTTGGGAGGGTGCCAGATGATCCAGACCACTCTACCCAGGCTTTTGGCAAAACACCCCTACCCCTCCTAAAGGTTAGTCTTCTTGCTTCCTCCACCCCACTTCCAGAGCCTCCTGAGCAGCTTACTTTCTTTTGTAAATCAATCATCAGAAAAGTGGGGGGGAGGGGAAGAGCTACAATGAAACAAAAACATTTAACTTTGACATGGGGGCTCAGTGCCTCTTGCTGTCTTTCTGAGCCCCAGGGGTCCAGGCTGAGGCAGGACTGGGTAGCCTTCTCTATCGGTAGTGCATCGTCTCAGGTTCTGGAGAGGGCACAAGAAAAACCTGTCCCTCACCAGGGTTTGGTCCATTTTTTTAAATATTTATTTTTTAGTTGTAGTTGGACACAATACCTTTATTTCACTTATTTATTTTTATGTGGTGCTGAGGATAGAACCCAAGTTCTCGCACATGCAAGGTGAGCACTCTACCACTGAGCCACAACCCCAGCCCCTGATCCATTTTTTTTAATAGTTTATATCTCTGTTGATATTCTCATTTTGTTCATGCATTGTTACCCTGACTTCCTTAAGTTGTCTCTGTTCTCTTGTATGTAACTCACTGAGTTATTTTAAGACAATTATTTTGAATTCTTTTACAGCTTATTAATAGACATCTTTCTTTACGTCAATTCCTGGAGACTTATTTTGGTCCTTTAATTGGTACATGTTTTTCTGTTTCTTCATATGCCTTCTTGTTTTTTGTCACAGTGTCAGCATTTGAAAAAACAACTATCTTTCCAGTCTTTACAGACCTTTGCCAAGTGGCACACCTAGATATTCTATTGACCTCTCAAGCCTTTTCTGGGAACATTATCTCTCTGAACTTATACATGGAATTTCTCAAATAGAGAGGTCCCCCCCCCACCCAGGAGCTCATCATTTCTTTCTTCCTCTGGTGTCTGTCTGCAGTATTGCTGGTTCTCTGGTCTGCACCAAACCACCAGGCTCTCCTTGGTTCTTAGGAATTCCCAGGCATACAAAGTATACCCTTCAGCATTCAGGGTCAGACAAGACATAAATCAGTTCCTTTGAAGGCCCCAGAAAGCCAGAACATTGGGCATATGATCCACTATTCTCTTTCTTTCCCAAGGGAAAATCCAATAATTGGGATTTTTTTTCCTTACCACATTAAGCAATCTGATTTGTAGGGAAGGACTATTAATGAGTAGATTCTTACTGTTTTTGTACAGCTGGTCTTGACTTTGCCCTTGCCTTGGTACTGACTTTCTAATTGGTTTCTAGAGTTCTCATAAGAACATCTCTGAATTCTATACTGTGGTTAAGTCAGTATCTCTAGGGGAATGAAATCTGTGGCCTATTACTCTACCATCTTGCTGACATCACTCTATATTTTTAATATTTTTTAGTTATAGCATCTTTGATAATCTGATAAAAGCTGTGAAGCTTCTCCCTAGAAAAAATACACATACATAAAATATGAGATATAAATTTTGAGAGTATAGATAATCTTATATACACATGAATATATACCTATTCATTAATGTACCCAGGATTTAAAATATCGATACAGTCTGTATAGTAAAGGGTTAAATCAGAAGTTGTGGATTACTCAAACCCTGCACATTCCAGAGAAAGGACTAGTCCTTGACCAGCTTTGAAAGACAACCCCCAAATCTTGGAAGATTCACCCTAATAAGTATTTTGTATGCATGAAGGCTTGGACCACATTGTATCAGTTAAACCATTTAGATTACACTAGTGAACACATGTTTTTGTGTGCCTGAGATCCTGAGCCATACTACATCAGTTTGATTTTTGTGTGGCTGAAGATTGATAGCTGAGGTCATTTATAAAGAGGATGCATGCCTGTGTGACTGATCTCCAGTAAATATCCCAGACACTGAGGTTCCAATTAGCTTCATTGGTTATTGACATTTTGCACATCATTTCTGAGAGAATTCGGCACTATTTGTAAGACTAGCAGAAGAAAACTTGTGCCTGTTTTCTCCTATTTTGCCCTATCTTTTCCCTTTGCTGAGTATAATATATATCCTTTCATTATTTAAAAAAAAAAAAAAAAAACTTACCTATGAGTATGACAGCTTTTTCCAAGTCCTATGAGTTCCTCTAGTGAATTGTTGACTCTTGGGAACTCTTGATACAAAGTCCAGATCATTCCTGTTGAGTTTGCCAATCTGCTATACCCACTGCTGTAATTAGGCTACACATCTCTTAGTACCCAGAGGACAAGTTCATTCCAACAAACACTTAATGAAAGTCTAGCATTTGCTCAGTGCTAAGAAAGTACAAAAATCAGAGGGAAGTGGGTTCCTACCTTGAGCTACAGAGTTGGCATAGACCACTCCAGTATTCTAAATCTAAGTAGTAGAAATCATGTATATAGGTAATATTTATTTCATGTGGCTTCAAATTGATCTCATCCAGCCCATCATTCTATAGTAATCTCCCCTTATCAGTGGGGAAACATTCCAAGACCTTCAGTGAAATGGAGAATAGTACTGAATCTTATAGTTTTAATACATTTTTTCATCTTAACTAAGGACTTTATGAGACACTGTGGTCATTAATTTTGCAGCTTGAAGTTCAACAGCAAAACTAGCATGAATTTCTTTTTCCTTCATCACAATTTTACAGATATTAGTGTCATTCTTATCATATATCTTATCAACGTCAGCATATGATATTTTTCTTAGGAGGTAAGGAACTTACTTACACCTTTTCAATTAAATGAATTACTGAACAAATTCTCTTTGGTATATTAAAATTACCAGCATCACTTTGTCTTATGCTTTGAGGCCACCATTAAGAAAAATAAGGGCTACTTGAATGCAAGCATTATGATACCATGACAGTCAGTCTGATAACTGAGATGGCTACTAAGTGATTTATGGGCAGATAGCATACACAACTTGGATAACTCTGGGCAAAAGGTTGATTGATGTTACAGGCCTGCTAGAGCAGATGGTGCAATATTTTGTCACACTACTCAGAAGGATGTACAATTTACAACTTGTGAATTGTTTATTTCTGGAATTTTCCACTTAATACTTTCAAACCACAGTTGATCATGAAAAGTGAAGCTGTGGATAAAGGGGACTACTGTATATCTTATTCTTCTACATTCTATATGAGGTCATGCTTAAAGGAAATAACTTATGTTAAAGGTAATGCCTACCTTTGATTTTATTTATTCACTCATTCATTCAATATTGAGGATTGAACCCAGGAGTGCATTACCATTAACTAACATCCCCAACCTTCTTTATTTTATCTTGAGATGTGTCACTGCCCAGGCTGGTCTCAAACTTCTAATCCTCCTGCCTCATCCTCCCAAATTCGTGGAATTTTTGTTTTAATTTTTGAAAATTGTTTTTAAGTGTCAGACCTTTTGAGATATAACTTATGTATAACAAAAGGTACCCATTGTAAGTATTCAGTTCTGTGAGTTTTGACAAAAGTATATAATTATATAACCACTACCTGAAAAGTTCCATTGTGTTCTTTTACATCAAGTCCCCTCTCCTCACTCCCAGTCAGCCACTAATCTATTTTCTGCTACTACAGTTTTGTCTTTTCCAGAATGTCATGTAAGAATAATCAGATGGTATAAACTTTCATGTCTTTCATTTTTTTTTAACCTAACACAATGTCTTTGAGTTTCATCCATGCTGTTATGTGTATCAAGAGTTTGTTCAGGGCTGGGGATGTGGCTCAAGTGGTAACGTGCTCACCTGGTATGCGCGGGGCGCTGGGTTCCATCCTCAGCACCACATAAAAATAAAATAACGATGTTGTGTCCACAGAAAACTACAAAATAAATATTTTTAAAAATTCCTGGAAATCCATATTCAACAAAATGAAACTGAATCCCTTTCTCTCGCCATGCACAAAAGTTAACTCAAAATGGATCAAGGAGCTTGATATCAAATCAGAGACACAGCGTCTGATAGAAGAAAAAGTTGGCTACGATCTACATATTGTGGGGTTGGGCTCCAAATTCCTCAATAGGACACCCATAGAACAAGAGTTAATAACTAGAATCAACAAATGGGACTTACTCAAACTAAAAAGTTTTTTCTCAGCAAAAGAAACAATAAGAGAGGTAAATAGGGAGCCTACATCCTGGGAACAAATCTTTACTCCTCACACTTCAGATAGAGCCCTAATATCCAGAGTATACAAAGAATTCAAAAAATTAAACAATAAGAAAACAAATAACCCAATCAACAAATGGGCCAAGGACCTGAACAGACACTTCTCAGAGGAGGACATACAATCAATCAACAAGTACATGAAAAAATGCTCACCATCTCTAGCAGTCAGAGAAATGCAAATCAAAACCACCCTAAGATACCATCTCACTCCAGTAAGATTGGCAGCCATTATGAAGTCAAACAACAAGTGTTGGCGAGGATGTGGGGAAAAGGGTACACTTGTACATTGCTGGTGGGACTGCAAATTGGTGCGGCCAATTTGGAAAGCAGTATGGAGATTTCTTGGAAAGCTGGGAATGGAACCACCATTTGACCCAGCTATTCCCCTTCTCGGTCTATTTCCTAAAGACCTAAAAAGAGCATACTACAGGGACACTGCTACATCGATGTTCATAGCAGCACAATTCATAATAGCAAGACTGTGGAACCAACCTAGATGCCCTTCAATAGACGAATGGATAAAAAAAAATGTGGCGTGGTTTGGGCGTCTGGGCGGCGAAGGTAGGACTGCCTATCCCGGGCGGCACGTTGCCCCTCTCCAGCTAACTGCATTATAGCATGTCCCCCAGAACCCGGAGACCGCGAGCCCGGCTTGCTTAGTGAAGATGCGGCCCCCCAGCGTTTAGGCCACTCGCGTCTCAACCCGCTTCTCTGTCGCTGGAGAACGCGCGGGTTGAGCAGCTGGGAGAAGCAGGCCAGAGCCTTCTAAGGCCTTGGGCCCGGGGACCCAAGGAGGATGAGCTGGCTCTTTCCCCTAACCAAGAGCGCCTCCTCCTCCGCGACTGGTTCTCCCGGTGGCCTCACCAGCCTCCAACAGCAGAAGCAGCGCTTGATCGAGTCCCTCCGGAACTCACACTCCAGTATAGCTGAAATACAGAAAGATGTGGAATACAGATTGCCATTCACTGTAAACAATCTGACTATTAACATTAACATATTACTTCCTCCACAATTTCCTCAGGAAAAACCAGTGATCAGTGTTTATCCACCAATAAGACATCACTTAATGGATAAACAAGGAGTGTATGTTACTTCTCCATTAGTAAGCAATTTTACAATGCATTCAGATCTTGGGAAAATTATTCAAAGTCTGTTGGATGAGTTCTGGAAGAATCCTCCAGTTTTAGCTCCTGCTTCGACAGCATTTCCATACCTGTACAGTAACCCAGGCGGGATGCCTCCTTATGCTTCTCAGGGCTTTCCATTTCTTCCTCCATATCCTCCACAAGAAGCTAACAGGAATATCACTTCTTTGTCTGTTGCTGACACTGTTTCTTCTTCAACAACAAGTTATACCACAGCCAAGCCTGCTGCTCCTTCATTTGGTGTCCTTTCAAGTCTGCCATTACCTGTTCCCACAACGGACACTTCAGCTCCGATAAGCCAGAATGGTTTTGGTTATAAGATGCCAGATGTTCCTGATACATTTCCAGAACTCTCAGAATTAAGTTTATCACAACTTACAGATATGAATGAACAAGAGGAAGTATTACTAGAACAGTTCCTGACTTTGCCTCAATTGAAACAAATTATTGCAGACAAGGATGACTTAGTAAAAAGTATCGAGGAATTAGCAAGAAAAAATCTCCTTTTGGAACCTAGCTTGGAAGCCAAAAGGCAGATTGTTTTAGATAAGTATGAATTACTTACACAAATGAAATCTACTTTTGAAAAGAAGATGCAAAGGCAGCATGAACTTAGTGAGAGCTGTAGTGCAAGTGCCCTGCAGGCAAGATTGAAAGTAGCTGCACACGAAGCTGAAGAAGAATCTGATAATATCGCTGAAGATTTCTTGGAGGGAAAAACGGAAATAGACGATTTTCTCAGTAGCTTCATGGAAAAGAGAACAATTTGCCACTGTAGAAGAGCCAAGGAAGAGAAACTTCAACAGGTGATAGCAATGCACAGCCAATTTCATGCTCCACTATAGATTTTCCCGAAAACATGAACTGCCAAGAGAAAAATGAGACATAAAACTTAAGCACATTGTTTTATATTTATGATTTGCAAATTGGCATTTCATCATGGGGGCTGAATTCACAGATAATACTATATAGATTGTATACAGAACTGAGACTGATTTTGTATAGATCAAAATACTTGCTGTGATCTTTGCTTTGAGAAAATTTTCTGCACTATTTGCACTAAAAATGTTTATTTATTGTTGATAAACTATCATATATTTAAGTTCTGCTGCTATTCCTCTTATTATTGATTAAATGCCTATGCATGTAATTTCAGCTACTTTTCAGTACTTTATAAAACTAATTTAAATTTGTAGTTTTAATTCAAAGCTGCCTCAGTTCTTTATCAAGAGTGGTGTGGTTTTTAGATTATTTTCCTCTCAACCTTTTTTTAAGAAATTTTCAACTGTGGAAAGTCACCATTTTCTTTCTTTCTGGATGATAAAACTTTTCAAGGGCAATTTGTTTTTAAATATTCATAGTGTCAGGAAACACCAGACCTGCCAATGTGCCATCTCAAGTAAGTAACTTTTACCTACAATAAATCAAAAAAGAGTAAACCAGCTCTTCATATATTGTTTTATTTTTAAAACTAAAGATACATTTAAGTTGCAAGACCAGTTAAATAAATATTTTACTTAAGAAAATGACTGGTTTCGTTTAAACCAATCCAAAACAAACTTTCAGGCTAATTCTTAAAACATAAGTATCTGATGGATTTGTGGTTAGATGGGTATGCTTTCTAAATTCCTAATGTTAAAACAATCTTTTTGTTAATAAAAATAATCTAGACATAAAAAAAAATCAATGAATTTTTCTCATTTTTATGTGAATTCAATTTTCCTGAGAAAAGTTTTATAGGAACTAGTAAAAGTACTATTTAGTTTTTAAGCAATCCAAATTTTTAATGAATTTCCTCTTCATTTGTACTGTGTTCAGTAATTTGCTTCTATGCCATGTCACCAAATGAACATATTTCATAAGTAGCCCTAAATGATTCAAAGGGAGAAAATTTTGAACTCTAACTGAGGCTCAATAAACTAGTATCTAAATCACGAAACAACCTAGTGCATATTTTTGCTTAAATTTCATCCCCCTATAATTATCATTTCAACATTTGCATACAATATAGATTATCTTTGTCTTCATTCTTCTCTCCTTCTATACATGTCTTTAGCAATGGAGGTTTAGGGGAAAGACTTAATTTTCTTAGAATTGAAAAATACTTAATACTTAGTCTATATTTGTAAAACACAAATATTCACATGGACTAAAAAGGTACAATGTTGTATGCAAAAAAATGGCTTTTATTAATTGTCTGACTTGCCGGCACTGTGCTAAGGAAGGGCATGCTATTTAATATTCAGAATGCTCAGAAAAAGGTAAAATTATTCCTGATTTGTGGATGAAATAATGAAGTAAAAGTATGTCAAATTTGTGATAGTCTTTTGGGCATTTAGAACTTTCCTTATTGTCTGTGACAATATCCAGTGTGATAGCATTGGCCATCAGAGATTAATATTCTCAACAATTATTGCAGTCACTGGAAGACTTTGCATTCCCAATCTTTTACAAACAAATCAGGTAGCTTTCCTGGAAACTAGATATATCCTAGAACAAGAGGTCAGCAGACCAGAGACCTTCTAAAAGACCATTCACACTAAAAATAATGCATTACGGAAATACCATATAAAGATAACTCAAACATGGTTTAGTTATTGAAGTGCTTATCTACCTCCTGTTCTACCAAATATATATACATGTATAAAAAAATACATAATTTCCTTTAAATTAGTTTATTAGATAACCTCTTAACAACCCAGATTAGAGAAGTTTGATCACAATTATCTGTATTATATAAATTGGCAATTTAGTTCAGATATAGGTTATGTATGTCTTTTAGGATGGAAAGATTTTATGCCTGTGTGAATTTGGGTTCCATGACTGCAATAAACTTAAATGATGTTTTTTTCTAATGTTTTGGCTATATTTCTTTGTAAAAAATGATTATAGACATACATGCCAAAGTAAATATTCTGATTTTACTTTACTATGTAATAGAAGACTAGATGGAAATCAAAATTGTAGAGGAAAGCTTAGGAGTTTCAATAGACTATCTAGGACAGAGGTTTGTTATGGATAAAGCTTTAAAGGTTAATATCTCAAAAGAGAAGAAATTCTAAATCAATGAGATATATACTACTAAAGATAACAATTTTAAAGTTGAAAGAAATTTCTAGGAATAAACAGACTAGAGAATTTTTATTGGGATAGAGGTTGTTGGACAAATAAGGTTTAATCATAATCTATATATGATTATATTGAAAGACAGCTCCGATTTATGTACTCTTGAATAAATATTTCTCCTTTGTTTTCCTTAACTTCCTTTATTCTATAAAATAGTTCAATTATTGGTTTGCTTAATCATGATCAAAATTCTTATCTATTTCATATCAAATTTACCTTAATATCACTGAATAACAAATCACTTGAGCACTATTATTAATTAGGAAGTAACAGGCCCATGTCAGTTGCATATCGGTTTATTCTTTTCACTTTAAACCACTGCCCTAAATAATAAAACACTTCCTGATTGCAGTTTGATTTAAAATGAAAATGTAGTGTTAAGAGAATTTAGTCTTGTTGGATTGAGAGTGCTCTTTAAAAGCTCTCTAAAAGCACAATAAATGTTTAATAAGCAATAAATATAAACTTTTATATAGAGTTCAGTGTTAGTTACTTATAAAACAGACTAAATGAACATAATGTTTTATAAAAAGATTGAGGGAACTAAAAAGTTTATGGCTCTGATGGAAGATGTCACATTATAAAATTAAAATTTAATGTATCAAATAGAATATTTGCTTTCCCAAGTAAATGCATAGTCCTTTTTGGTATAGATACTGTTTCTTTTCTTTTTTTAAAAAAAAAGTATTGCTTTTTTTAGCCTTACACTACCAACTGGAAGAAATTAAAGTCATATCCTCAGTTTTAGACAACAAAGTTTCTAGAAGTAGACAACTACAAGAATGGTATGAAGTGAGTTATATACATTATAAAAATGTAAAAGCTATTGACCCTATATCCTAAGTATTTCTTAGCAGGGTATTCTCTGTTATATATGTTTTTTTTATTATAGAAAATGAATGACCTTTCCTTGTATTTAATTTGGGAACTACTCAGCAGAAAATACTCAGATTTTGTATTCTAAAACAATTGTACTTGCTTTTTTTTAACATTAAAAGAGCATTTTATATTACTGTCTTTAGTATATTAAAATAACTTCTATTTTTAAATATGCATACAATTAACAATTATACTGTATAATTTGATTTATGTATATTACTATGCCCCAAATCTTTCATACTAGAGATTTCAGCAATATCACTTGCCTTTTTTCTTTTCCTTGCTCCCATTTTAGCAAAATGTAATATATTCTCCAATAAAAATTCACATATTTAAAATGTTAAAAAAAAAAAAAAATGTGGCATTTATACACAATGGAGTATTACTCTGCATTAAAAAATGACAAAATCATGGAATTTGCAGGGAAATGGATGGCATTAGAGCAGATTATGCTAAGTGAAGCTAGCCAATCCCTAAAAAACAAATGCCAAATGTCTTCTTTGATATAAGGAGAGTAACTAAGAACAGAGTAGGGAGGAAGAGCATGAGAAGAAGATTAACATTAAACAGGGATGAGAGGTGGGAGGGAAAGGGAGAGAGAAGGGAAATTGCATGGAAACGGAAGGAGACCCTCGTGGTTATACAAAATTAGATACAAGAGGAAGTGAGGGGAAAGGGAAAAAAAAACAAGGGGGAGAAATGAATTACAGTAGATGGGGTAGAGAGAGAAGATGGGAGGGGAGGGGAGGGGAGGGGGGATAGTAGAGGATAGGAAAGGCAGCAGAATACAACAGACACTAGTATGGCAATATGTAAATCAGTGGATGTGTAACCGATGTGATTCTGCAATCTGTATGCGGGGTAAAAATGGGGGTTCATAACCCACTTAAATCAAAGTGTGAAATATGATATGTCAAGAACTATGTAATGTTTTGAACAACCAACAATAAAAATTTAAAAAAAAAATTCTCTCTCTCTCTCTCTCTTAAAAAAAAGAGTTTTTTCTTTTAATTGATGAATTCTATTGTGTGGATATGTAACAATCTGTTGGGTTTGTTTCCAGTTTGGAACTATTATAAAGGAAGGGACTATGAGTATCACATTTAGGTGTCTGTGTGAGTAAGACTTTATTTCTCTTGGGTAAATAAATACCTAAAATTAGGATTGCTATGTCATATAGAAGAATATGTTTATAAGAGATTGTGTAATGTTTTCCCAGTGGCTTTACCATTTTGTATTCTCACTAGCAAAATATGATATTTCATTTGTTACTCATGCTCACTCCCACTTAGCATTGTCACTTTTCCAATTTCATCCATTTACCAGGTAAATAGTGGTAATTTATTGTGATTTTAATTGATATTTGCCTAATGACTAATAATGTTGAGCATCTTTTCATATGCTTATCTGCCATTCTTATAGTTTCTTTCATGAGGTATATATTCAAATTGTTTATCCATTTTTAAATTGGGGCAGTTTATTTTAGTATAGAATTACAAGAGTTTTTTACATGTTCTGGATACAAGTTCTTTATCCTAACTGTGTTTTGCAACTATTGTTTCCCTCATGAACAGTTTCTAATTTTTTGGAAGTCTTATTTATTAATATATTTAAAATGTATATATATATATATATATATATATATATATATATATATATATATGGTGTAGATGGACACAGCACAATGCCTTCATTTTTATGTGGTGCTGATGATCGATCCCGGGTCCTGCCGGTGTGCTAGGTGAGCACTCTACTGCTGAGCCACAATCGCAGCCCTTATTAATATTTTTAATGGTTAGTGTTTTTCCCCCTCCTAAGAATTCTTTGCCTAACCCAAGATCAGAAAATCTGTTTCTCCTTCTAGACATTTTATATTTGAGCACTCATGCTGGTCAGTGATCTACTCTGCCTGGTATACAAGAAGGGTTGAGGGCTGGGGATGTGGCTCAAGTGGTAGCGCGCTGGCCTGACATGATCCTCAGCACCACATACAAAACAAAGATGTTGTGTCCGCCAAAAACTAAAAACTAAATATTAGAAAAGATCTCTCTCTCTCTCTCTTTCTCTCTCTCTCTCTCTCTCTCTTAAAAAAAAAAAAAGAAGGGTTGAGGTTTATCTTCAGCACCTAGAGATCCTTTTTTCCCAGTACTACCTATTTAAATGACTCTCCTTTCTTCCATTGAATAATTTTGGCACTTCTGTGGAAAACTAATTGACTCTCCATATGTTAGTCCATTCCTGGCCTTTCTGCCCAGTTGCACTAATCTCTGTCTATCCTTATGCTTTTTCTGACCTTGATTACCATAACTTATAATAAATCTTGAAAACATGTAATTTGGTTTCTCCAACTTTTTCTTTTTTCGATTGTTTTGGGTCTCCTAGGTCCTTTGAATTTTCATACTAATTTTACAATCAACTTGTCAATCTCTACAAAGTTGTCTGCTGGGATTTTGATTGGGTTTGCACTGAATCTTTAGATCAATTTAGGAGAATTAACATCTTAACAATACTGAGTCTTTTAATCCTTAAACATGGAGTATTTCCCTACGTATTTAGGTTTTCCTTAATTTCTCTCAAAAATGTTTTGCAGTTTTCATTGTGCAGATCTTATGCATATTTTGTTTAATCAGTCCCTAGGTGTTTCATGTTGGTTGCTGCTTTTTTGAATGTTATTTTGTTTTTGTTTTGCTTCAGTACTGGGGATTGAACCCAGGGGCACATTACTACTGAGCTACATCCCCATCCCTTTTTATTCTTTAAGACAGGGTCTCACTAAGTTGCTTATTAGCCTTCCTAAATTGCTGAGGCTTTCCTCATCCTTGTAATCTTGCTGCCTCAGTCTGGGGTCGCTGGGATTACAGATATGTTCCACTGCACCCACCCAGCTCTGAATGTTATTTTGTATTTCACCTTTCAGTAATTCATTGCTAGCAGAAAAATACAATGGATTTTTAAATACCTTTATTTTATGTGTTTATTTTTATGTGGTGCTGAGGATGGAACCCAGTGCCTCACACATGCTAGGCAAGTGCTCTACCGCTGAGCCCCGACTCTCATTCTACAATGGATTTTATACACTTTTTATATTTATATACTTTGTATACTTTTGTTTATTTTCAAATGAAGCTGATATTCCTGGGTTCAGAGTATCCTGAGATTCATAGAAAGTTCCATGTTTCCTTTCTGATTCTGCAGTCTTTATGTTTCTTTGACTTTATATTATTTTGAATATATGTACTCATCCTATTTATTTTCATAAACACAAAAACATTCCTATAATTCTTAATATTTGATAAGTACAACCCTATATTATGAGTATTATTATTGTCCCAATTTAGAGATAAGGAAACAGAGACATTGGGAAAATTAATTGTCAAAGTCCCACAGCTAATACATCCTGGAACTGAGATCTGATCCTGGACTTCAGCAGCTCGCAAACATTTTAGTCTCTGGACCCCTTCATATTCTTACAATGACTAAGCCAAATATATATATGGGTATACAACATAGCATAATCAAGAAATCTTGATTAAGAAAAACAAAACCTTAGAATTTTACTCCCAGACCTTAAAGTTTACTTTAAAGCTATAGATTGAAATAGGGTACTTCTGGAACAAGGATAGACAAATAAATCACTAGAATAGAAGAAAGAGTCCAAACTCGACCCTCAGATATAAATTCACACCACCCCCACTTCTCCACAGGGGATAAGTTCCAAGACCCTCAGAAGATGCCTGAAACCCTGAATAGTCCCTAACCCTACATATGCAGACAGTCCCCAACTTAATGATGGTTTGACTTACAATATATCAACTATACAATAGTGTGAAGTTTATATGCATTCACTAGT